GTCATCCGGCCAACCGTGTACCCTTTGAGTCCTTCAAAGTTGCCTTTCAAGAACTCGAAACCATCGTGCGATAGCCCCATGGTGGGCGCCAACTGTCGTGGAATTAACACGTCAGATGTCCTAGCAGAAGGACTTAGTCGTGGAGCCATCACAACGAGGTTAGCTTAAAGGAGTTAAACCGGAACAAAGGACATGGGAAGTTTATACTGGTTCGGCCCCTTATGGTGAAGGTAAAAGCCTACGATCCAGTTGTTATGGGATTGATTGATCTCGATGAGCAGGGAGTGAATCCGCTTTACCTATCTCTCGAGCTGTTGTTTCTTGTCCCTGAACCCCCGCCGGGTCATCCCTTTATATACATAGGTTGACGCCCGGCCGGTTTACAGAGTCAAAAGGCCGGCTCATACAAGTGTCCGGCTCGGTCTCTTCCTTTCCCTATCTTACAATACAAGTTATACGACTATGGCGGTTTACAACTATGGGCCCTAATCCGCCTTTGGGCTCTGGGCCTCTAAGCTTTAATAATAGAGCGCCATCTTCTTTGTCTTCATGAGCTTCAATATAGATGAGCGTGAACCGGCCCCTCTCGGGCGGTTTACACTCAGTGGTTATATCCTCAACATGAAACTCGCTTGATTTTGCATGTAGTTTCATCTTATCATGTTGCATCCATGTTTTGGGGAGTGTTTGCTTGATGTTTGAATGTATTTTGCATCAATGCCATGTTTAGCTTGTTTTGCTCATATCTTCTAGGCCGTAGCTCCGAACTAAACGAACTTTATATTTAACTTGACTAGATTTTCGTGTAGATCATCTTGGTGCATCTTAACTTGCTGTTTAACAACTTGAACATAAGGTTTATTCAGATCTGGACCAATTTTGAAATTTGCATATGAGGTCTTTCCAGTTTTGTCATATGTTGTTTCCGGCCTCATTTAAACTTGCTTTGATGTGTTGCTCTTGTATGCATCATCTCTTGCCATGAGTAGCTGCATGTAGCCTTGTCATGCATCATACTTGGTTGTGCACCATGTCATGTCTATGTGTTGTGTGTTTACCTTGTTGTTTGCTTCTTCCCGGTTGTGCTCCTTCTCATTAGTTCCTGTTTCATTGCGATCGTGAGGATTCGTTCATCTACGCTTGGTTCGTCTTCGTGGCTTCATCTTCTTCATGGACTCGTTCTTCTTCCTTGCGGGATTTCAGGCAAGATGACTGCTACCCTGGATCTCACTACTATCATTGCTATGCTAGTTGCTTCGTTCTATCACTATGTTGCGCTACCTATCACCTGTTCTTCAAGCCTCCCAATTTGCCATGTCAGCCTCTAACCTTTTCGCCCTTCCTAGCAAACCGTTGCTTGGCTATGTTACCGCTTTGCTCAGCCCCTCTTATAGCGTTGTTAGTTGCAGGTGAAGTTGAAGATTGCTCCATGGTGGACATGATTATGTTGGGATATCACAATATCTCTTATTTAATTAACGCACCTATATACTTGGTAAAGGGTGGAAGGCTCGGCCTTATGCCTAGTGTTTTTTTTCACTCTTGCCGCCCTAGTTTCCGTCATACCGGTGTTATGTTCCTTGATTTTGCGTTCCTTACGCGGTTGGGTGATTTATGGGACCCCCTTGACAGTTCGCTTTGAATAAAACTCCTCCAGCAAGGCCCAACCTTGGTTTTACATTTGCCTAACAACCTATTACCCTTCCCTTGGGTCGGCCAACCTGAGGGTCATCTTTATT